CTGGGCCTCATCTTTACACTGTGAGGTATAACACAGCTCCCAATCTGGGCCTTAATCTTTACAATGTGAGGTATAACACAGCTCCTAGCCTGGGCCTCATATTTACACTGTGAGGTATGACACAGAAAGTGAGAGAAACTGATCTCCCCCTGGTTTCAGAAACTCTTGGTGTTATCCCGGTATTGTTCCAAACCCCAGCCCCAGCTCCTTTCTAAACTACCCTTTTACCCCTTTTTTTCATTAAAATATAACATATATATAGTAAAGCACAGAAATCTGAAGTGGACAGCCCATTGAATTTTTACAAATATATGCTCCAGGGCAACCATCACTCACATCAAGATACCGAATACTATCAGCACCCCAGACACTTGTCCTCCCCATCAATACCTGGCCACTTCCTCCAAGGCAAGCCTCTATTCTGACTTTCATCTGTTCTATCTCAGTGAAAAGTGGGAACTTCTATACATGCAGTCATACATATACTTTTTCTGTCTGGTTTTTGGTCAGCATTATGCCTGTGAAATTCATACCAGGTTGTGGTATGTACTAGCAGTGTGTTCTTTTTCATTGCTGTAGAGTATTCCAGCATATGAATATGCCACAGTTTATTCAGTTTTTATTGGCATTTGGATTGTTTCCCATGCAAGGCTATTATGAATAATGCTGCTATGAACATCCTGTTTATGCTTTTGTGCACGTATGCTGTCATTTTTGTTGGGTCTACACCTAAGAGAAGGAACCCTGGTGGCACAGTGGTTAAGCACTCGGCTGCAAACTGAGAGGTCAGTGGTTCAAACCCACCAGCGACTCCTCGGGAGAAAGATGTGGCAGTCTGCTTCTGTAAAGATGATAGCCTTGGAAACCCTACGGGGCACTATGAGTCAGAATCAACTCCATAGCCATGAGTTTTAGGATAGATGTATATTTAACTTTATTAGATACTGCCAAACAGTCTTCCAAAGCAGTTGTATATTTTACACTGCCACTAGCATTGAGAGTCTTGTTATTTCCACGTCCTCAGTAACATTTGATATTATCAGCATTTATTTACTGTAGCCATTCTGATGAGAGTCTAATGGTATCTCACTGTATTTGCATGTGTGTGCTTAATTTTTATTATGAAGTTTCAAACAAACTCAAAAATAAAATAGTATAATGAAATGCATGTACTCCACTGCACAGTTCTAGAATCCCTCAATCCATGGCTGGTCCTGCCGCATCTACATTACAACCACTTCCTCCTCTCTCTTATCATTTTGAAGTAATACTGGAATTATTATCAGTTCATCTGTAAATAAAGAGTAGCTATAAAACATAAGGACTTAAAAAATAATCAGTATAATACTGTTGTAGCTACAAAATTAACATTATTTCCTTAATACCATCAAATATCCAGTGTCCAAATTTTTAGGTGTCAAGTGTCATGAATTTGCATTTTTGTTTGAATCAAGATACAAATTAAAATAGGTCCACACATTGCAGTTTATTGATAAATCTTTTAAGTTCTCTTTTAATCAATAAAAACCCATGGCCGTCGAGTCAATTCTGACTCAGAGACCCTATAGAACAGAGTAGAACTGCCCTGTAGGGTTTCCAAGGCTGTAAATCTTTATGGAAGCAGACAGCCACATCTTTCTCCCACAGAACTGGTGAGTTTGAACTGCCAACCTTTTAGTTAGCAGCCGAGTGCTTAATCACTTCACCACGAGTTCCTCCTTTTTTCTTTTTCTCTCTTGCAATTAGTGAAGAAACTGAGTTGTCTTATAGAGTTTCCCATAATCTGAGTTTTGCTGACTGCACTCCCTGATGGACACTTACGTTCCTCTGTATTATTCTGTAAATGGGTGGTTGGATCTAGAAACATGATCAGTTCAGGGTAGTTTTGTGTGTTTGTGTTTGGCATACCTGACTGCCATTTCCATCTCGTTGAAAGCTGCATCAAAGCCAGCTGGAGCTCCACGAGGTGCGGCTCTCCTGCCGGCAGCTGCAGGTGAAGGTGGAAGAACTCACTGAGGAGAGGAGTCTGCAGGGCTCTGCCACCACCAGCACATCCCTCCTGTCAGAGATAGAGCAGAGCATGGAGGCCGAGGAGCTGGAGCAGGAAAGAGAGCAGGTGCTGACACCCGTCACTCCACTTGTGAGATGGCCTGGGAATTCCCGGGCAGGGCCCTGGACTTATGAGCCCAGCAGCCCTCCATATCATCAGTGCCTGTTATTTCAGCTGCCAGCCTGGCGAGGGCCGTGGCCTACACCTGGGCAAGCCCTAGGCCTGCTGCCCAGAGCTGTCACAAGCAGGCCCTGATGAAGCATGCCCCTGGCCTTCCATTCTCACCACCCTGTACAAAAAGGCATTAAAAGCAGAATTGCCAGAGGACAGAGTGTCATAGGCACAGCCACATGCCATTTCCTGTGACCCCAGTGCCTCTTAGGAAATATTTGTTGACTAATGATCAGCCTCATAACTTCTTGTACTGACAAAGTTCTAAAATATTCATGATCCATCCTCTCCATCCAGCTGGCTTCTTTACATGCTACCCATAACTACTTACTCCCCTTATCATTTTCTGATTCCCACAAAAGTAACTGTGCTTATATGAAGAAATGTTTATATGGCAAGTGGGAGGGCCAGAGAACAGGGAAAGTAAGAACTGGGAGTCTGTATAGACATACTGGGCCCAAAACAAGTATCTGTTTCTTGGGACAGGTGATTTAAAACAAAACACAAAACTTTTTTCCCAGAACTGGTGTCCTGGGTTCAGACACGGGAAAAAGATGACCAGGTGGCAGTCTTGTTTAGAATCCAGTCAAGAGTTATTTCTTTCTGTAACAGCTGAGACTGCAGCTCTGGGAAGCCTACTGCCAGGTTCGCTATCTCTGCTCACACCTTCGAGGAAACGACAGTGCTGACTCAGCCGTCTCCACAGACTCCTCAATGGACGAGTCTTCAGAAACCTCATCCGCCAAGGACGTGCCAGCCGGCAGCTTGCGCACTGCCCTCAACGAGCTCAAGAGACTGATACAGAGCATTGTGGATGGCATGGAGCCCACGGTAAGAGGCCAGTCCAGAAGTTCCTTACCTCCCAGGTTCTGGCTAGGGGTAGGTTGAAACCAGCCCTGGAATTGGAGCCTTTGAAAATATCTGCAGGTATTTCTTCTGAGTGTTTACTTGTTTGAGAGCATTGAATACTTGTGATCATACAGGGGGGCTAGGTGCTGAGGAATGGAAGGCTCCAATATCCTCTTCCTGCAGCTACTGGGGTGCACAACTGGAGTCCTTAGAGTTTGTACAAGCAATAGGGGCTTCAAGGCCAAGAGATTTCCTTAGAAGCTTTAACTATAGGAACTTGTTCAGGTTAAAAACTGCAAGTTACTATTCATAGTCCATTGGCCCTGGTGGTGGGTGCTGGCTATGAATAGGCAAATGTAAAAGATTGGAAGCTTTGGCCAAAAGGATATAAGCACGTTACAGAAAGTTGAGTTCAACTGCAGGGGCCTTTTAGAACTCCAGCTGAGGGTCCTCCTGAGAAGGAGAGGACAGTTCAAGTGGGCATCCTGGGCAGAGTGACATTTCCTGCAGCTTCACAGCAGGTTTCTGCCCCATTTACTCTCCACCCACACTCCCAGCTCTTAGGCTATTATGTCTCTTCAGGTTTCATCTTTTACAGAATAGTTGTGTCTTTCTACCCATATGAGGTGAAGTAAGATGATAGAATGTTGTTCTTACCTGAGCATGCTGTGTTGATTTGTGGGATGTATCGCTGGGGTCCGTGGGAGCCAGCCTTTGTGGGGAAAGAGAACGGTCGGAGTGGACGTGTAGCTCATTGCAAACAGATTATTCCCCTTTCACAAGCACTGAAACAAGAATAAACGTCTAAAAAAGCAAGAAAATGGAAAATGTCTGGCTATTGTTTACAGACTGAAATTGAGCAAGAGACTCTTTCTCCCCTAATCTTCTTTCTTCCCTCTCTGTCTGTCTCCCCTTTTTTCTCTCTTCCCTCCCCCTCTATCATTTCCCATTATCGTCCTCCTCATCATCTTTCCATTCCCCTCACCAACCACCCCCACCCTCCACCTCTCCCGCTCTCCATCTCTCCCCATCTCCACCTCTCCCCCTCTCCATCTCTCCCCATCTCCACCTCCCTCCACTCCTTCCCCATCGGTCCCTGTCACCCTCATCATCTCTCTGGCTGGATCACATTCTCTTGCTGTCAGAGCTCCCGGAGAATTGATGATGACTCCTTAGAAGAACAGATAAGGCAGACCAGTGAGGACTCAAGAGCCTTAAGGGAACTCATGGAGGGAGAGAGGGGTAAACTGAGGCAAAGCCTAGAAGAGCTGCAGCAACTCCACAGTCAGGTGAGAACCCCCATCTTCAGCCCAGGGAAGGGAATGTGCACGCATCTGTGGGCCCTCCTGGGGCCCTGGTGAGTTTCCCTCTCCCATTTGAATTTGAGAGGTAACTTTCCTCTGACAACCCCCAGGGGACTGTGACCTAAAGTTGAGGTGAGCTGGGTATCTTCAAGAGAGGAAACCAATCCTCTGGTTTAGCCCAAAGTAAAATTGGCGGAGATAGGAATAGCTGGTCCTTGTCTTCTCCAGTGACACATTACCTTCCACAGAGCCAAGCCAGTCAGTGGATGCTGATGTTGAAAGAGGACACAGCTCCCAAAACACTTAGTGATGTTTCTTCCAGCAGCTGCTGAGCAGGAAGGTTGCAAACCAGTTAACAATTGCTCTTTGCAGGACTGCTCCCTCTTTATAAATGCTATCACCTCTGTTGGCCTGCTTTTCGGCTTTAGAAGAACTCAGTGCTGTTCCTGTGTTCCTTCTGTGTTGATCATGATTGCATCCTTGAGAACAGTGGAGAAGAACGTCTATAGTCTGATCTGAAAAGATATATAAGGGCTGAGGAGCAGCCCCACCCAGAAAGGAGCTTTTAGAATCCATTCTAGGAGATATAGAAAGGCGCTTCCTTTTGACTAGGGTCGTGTGTAGTCCCCTACTGCTGTGGGGGACACCACACAGGTAGCCTTTTAAACTCTGCCCCCACCCAGCCTGCCCGTTTTCCTTGTCTAAGGCTGTTCATCCCTTCCTGCTACATGACATTTCTCAGAGATGGGACTTAAGCCAGGCTATTACTTCAATCAGTCTTCCTTAAATTTAAGAGACTTTTCTAGAAATAAACTCCTGTCTTTTTATTTCTTTGGATCTTACCCATTAGTCTCCCTAATATTATCCTCTTCGAAAATAGGGGGAGACCCACCCACAGCCATGACTGTACTTCTCTTTCTGTGAGGGAGCAGGTAACAAGGACACAGGCTGTTTAAAGCTGTGGCTTGTTCCTGGCAAAGCCCCGGGAGTGGAGTAGGGCAGCCAGAGACAGTCTCGGTCCTAGAACCTGAGACCCCAGGTGGTAGTTGGCCGGGGTGGGGGGTGGTGGTTCTGACTCAGGGCTAAATCCCTTAAAACGAGAAGAATAAAACCAAAAGAAGGTTGAATCTACACGTTCTTGGATTAATAAAAATGTTACTAATTTTAAAGCCTATTTACGTTTCTGAGGGGTATTTCTGCTCATCAGCTCTTTGATATTGGCTGGTTTTTTCCATTTGTTTTTTGTTTCTCAGGATTATAAAATTGAAAGCTCACCAGAGGACAGTATTTCATTCAGAAACATAAGCAAAGCGTAGATTGCTGAGAGTCTGGTGTGGAGCTATTTAGGAAGCCATCTCCACCGGGAAAGTTTCCTTAAAAATTCAGCCAATAACTGGTTTAGGCCAGGTCCTGTGGATTCCCTTGCAAATAGTTCATCAAGGAGATGGATGCACTGAGGACCCACAGGGGGTGTAGAGCTGGGCTCCTCACTCGGGTCATCTCTCCCCAAATGCTCAGTCAAAGCTGAAAACCTCTCAGCCAAACCAGCTGGAGGGAGGAACACTGACACTCCGAGACAGTGGGTGGGATGCAGATTGAGGTCTAGAACGATGGTGGAAATGGCAGCAGTTACAGCGGACGTCAAGGTCTCCCTGCAGCATTGGTTGAGCACCCACTATGTGCCTGACACCGCACAAGACCTGAGAGGCACAAGGTGAAAATGACAGGGCCCCTGCACCCCGGACACTCAGTATCGGGAGGGGAGTCAGAACCATCTTTGTACCCTTTGAGGGGGCAGGGCCTAGACAAGGTTAGGTGGAACCAGGATTCCAGCAAACAGCTCTTAGACCAGGGTGGGAGGCGGAGTTGAGGCAAACATCATCCAAGGATCCAGTCTCCGAGCCCACTGCCTTCCTACCTGAGTGTGCGCTTTTCTCTCCTGGAAACTAGGCCAGAGGTAAAAGGTGTAGGGCCTGGGAGGTGATGAAACTAGCAACACCCGCCCCCTCAGAAGCCTCTGCAAATTTTTTAAAAGAGAGCTTGGGTTCAGTTTAACTGATAACTAGCTGTCTGAGGCAAAATCCATAGCCAGACCTGAAAGCTGGCCCAGCGCCATTCTCTTGCTGAGTTAGTGCACAAGTCCCCAACTCCATGCCCTCTGGAGGGCCCCCCACACCCTCTGTGTCACTGGCAAGGAGCTCCCCTCCCTCCATTCGCCACAGCTCTCCAGACTCCTGCTTACCTTGTCTGGTGAGGGCTGGGTATAGAGCAGCTTCCGCTGAGGCAGGGTGGATCTCTGGGTGATTTGTCTGTAGCAATATGAAAACCACTTACCTGTGAAGTCCCTCAGCCATTTCTCAAGCCAGTGAACCTAGTTGTAAGAGGCTTAGTGAGAAACAGTCCCAGCTCTGGTGTTTGAATCCTTTATGCTTGACTAGCTGCGTGCCAGATACTCCAGAAAGGGACTTAGAAGCACAGGAGAACTGATACTGGGAGCAGTCAAGGCCTTCACTAGTAAAACCTTGATAGCTCCTTCTCTCTAAAATCTCAGCATATTCTTCTTCCTCAGTTCTCCTAGCCACTGCCCTAGTTCTGATCTTCATTCTTTCACACCTGGATGTAGTAATTACTTCCCAACTCGCCTGCCTTCCCCCAGCCCACCAACTCTCCAGATGAATTGGATTGATCGTCTTGAAGCATAACTTGAAAACAGAACACCCTTCTAGTAAGTTCTGGGCAGGGCTTCAAACCGGTTGGTTCTGGTTTAAACCCCTGCCAAGAATTTGCATTTCCACCCCAGATATACTAAATCAGAATCTAAAATTTAACAAGATCCCCAGGTGATTCTTATGTATAACCTCCTGGGAGCTTGTTAGAGATGCACCTTAGAGGCCCTGGTTCTGGGCTGGCTTCCCATTAATCAATAATGAGAAGCCTCTGGCCTTCATGGCCACCACAGTCTGGTTGCATTCTCATTAGCCAGCCTTCTGTCCTCTCGTTTCCCACCTCACCTCCTTTGTGTTAGCAGCACAAACAAAGGCTGTGAAAGGGGATGGCACACCTGCCCATGCTTTTCCACACCTGGGCCTTGTCTCCAGCTCATCTCTCTGCCCGGAAGACCCTTCGTCCCAGCTGCACATAGCTCGACCCCATCGTCCTTCAAGTTCTCCATCGGTGTCACTTGCTTCACGAAACCCTCTTCGTTCCCTCTGTCATGGAGCATCCCTGGCTCAGCTTTGCTATAGTTACCCTCATTCACATTTCATCTTCCCAGTTAAACCCTAGATCCCTGAGGATAAGCTCAGGCCCCATTTGTCTTTGTCTCCTAAAGCAGCGAGCACGGGGCCTTGCCTAGAGTGGGCACCTAAATAATTGTTGAATGAGAGAGAGGATATATTCAGGATGTTTTCTTTGATGCTATTTAATTGTGGGGACACCCACTTTATTTGGGAAAAGTGGGTTTAGGATGGAAGTAACCCTAAATCAGTGTATAGATAAGCCAGACTGATCCTCAGAAGTTGGTCCTGCACAGACGGAGGAGGAGGAGTGGAGCAGACAGCCATTTGCCAGGCAGGCACTGGGCTCGGCCCTTGATAGTATGTATCTCATTTGATGTCTGCAACAGCCTCAGGAAGAATAATTATTTTTATTCCTGCTTTTTATGAAAGGTTTAAAAAAGATTAAGTCCCTCATCACTTCTCCTAAGGCAGAAGGCTGGTAAGCTGTACCTTTACCAGGCCAAAGTAAAAAGTTCTTCTGCAGTTTTATCTGGAGCATATTAAATATTGGCATTTCCTGCCTAGAATGTAGTCTCACCTGTTCCTTTCTCAGCTTGCACAACACCTGGCTGGCCCTCAGCTACCCTGAGGCCACATCAGGGCTCATTTGGTCTGAGGCGGGCTGTCTGTCTCCACCAGGTGCTTTCTGGGTCTTGCATCGTTCTGGCCTACCGGGCAGCAGAACCTGCAGTAAACAGGCGGAGGCAGCCTTCTTACCTGGGCCCTATGTGCCTCGGGGCTGGATGCATATGCAGGCACCGCCCCTGCTGACTTCTTACCCTGGTTTTCTACCCCGACCCACCTGCGCCTTCCCCACCACACCACAGAAGCTGCAGCTTCGGACTGTTCTCAGTACAGAGCACTGGCCCTGGTGTTCCCTACCAGTCTCCTGACAGTACAGAATCTCTTGTCAATGGTATGCGGTGTCCTCTGAACTCCTAGAGATGGCTGCTCCTCAGGGCCTGGCAACTCTGCTGTTTCAGTCTGGGGAGAGTCTAACGTGTCTCCGGGAAGCTTGATCTTCAGCCTTAGTCCTAAGCCTGTGCTTGGTACCATTCTATCTAAAGATGATTAGACCAGGCCTTCAAACCAGTTCATTCTGGTTCAGACCTCTGCTGAGAATTTGCATTTCTAACAAGTTCCTGGTCGACGCTAATACTACTGTTTAGGAATCAATTCTGAGAACCACTAGTAGAGCAGTGGTTCTCAAAGTTCATTTTATATATAAGGGTCACCTGGGGATCTTGTTAAACTGTAGATTGAGATTCAGTATATCTGAGGTGGAAATGCAAATTCTCAGCAAGGGTTTGAATCAGAATGAACTGGTTCGAAGTTCCAGATTGGACCTGGGACTTGAAGAGTGGGACTGAAAGGTGGCATCTGTGCCTTCTGAGAGGGAGGCAGACCTGTGTGGATGGATCCTCCCTGCTGGAAAAATGTCATACTATATGTAATATTTAACAAGAGGGCAGGGTCAGACAGCCTGACTCATGTTTGAACTTACCAACTGTGAGAAGAAGGGGCTCCAACCCTTCCAGTCATTCAATGGATTCTTAACAAAAGCTCTCCTGGGCAGGGTTTCTTTTTTATTTTTTATTGTGTAAACTTAGGTGAAAGTTTACAGCACAAATTAGTCTGTCATTCAAAAATTTATACACAAATTGTTTTGTGACACTGGTTGCAATCCCCACAATATATCAGCACTCCCCCCCTTTCCCTTTACACCACAGGTTCCCCATGTCCATTTGTCCAGGTTTCCTGTCCCTTTCTGCCTTCTCGCCTTTGCTTTTGGGCAAGGGTTGCCCATTTGGTCTTGACTGGGCAGGGTTTCTGATTGCAAGAAACAGAAACTTGCTCTACTTAAGCGGGAAGAGAATAGTGGAGTTCAATCTGGTAGCTCACAGAATTGACAGGAAGGCTGGAGAAGCAGGCTCCAAAAATAGGAAGGAGCCATGGGAAGTGGGGCAGCAGAAACAATCTGTGACCCCTGTAGGTGGTTTCCTCCTGGCCTGTGGCTTGGCGTTCCTGCCTCGAGATGTGACTGGCAAGTCTGCGTCACTTGCTCGTGCCCAGGCTGCCTGGGAAAGGAAATGTCTCCCTTCCTTTGGCTTCCTTTACAGGCCATGCTCTGCTCATACAACCAGAAATGCCTCAGAATAGGAAGGGATTTGGGATGATGAGTAGCCAGTAAATGACAGATGTCCAGTGCACAAGTGTTGGCATTAACCACTGCAATCAGATTGCACAAATGGATCTGACATGGCTCCTGTTGTGAGCTCATAGTGTAAAGGAGTTACTGTGCTGTGGGAAGGGATAAGCCCAGTCACCAAGGGAGCCACTAGGAGGGGCATCTGACTGCCAAAGGATGACTCCAGGTTGGGCATAAGGTCCTGAGTTGGCTGTGGTGCCAGTCACTGAAGCACAGACCACAGAAAAGGCAACAGATTTGAAGTGAAAGATGATAACATCATTATGTGGCTTTAACCTGGGGAGGTGAATGAAGAAGGAAGGAGAGCCAGGCTGCGCCAAGCGCTGTCAGAGAGCTGAGTGATGGGAACCAGGGCCACTTGAGACCATGTTGATAGCAGCTCTCCATGTTGAGTACAAGGTGGCTGGAAACAAAACTTGAGTCCCTTGCCAGAGCACTGAGGCATTTATGGCTGTCTTTCCTTAGTTACCCAGGAGTGCCTTGAAATGAAAGAGGTCGCATGGGGTGCTGGAGACAAAGAGGATCTGGCCTCGTTTCTGCAGGTTCAGGGCTGTGTTCCCCATTGTCCCGTTGCCACTGTGCTCACGCCTAGCATGGGGCACCCATTCTTCAGAAGAGACTTCCTGAAGCTCAGAGACTTCAGGCAAAGGAAACTACCCGCTGTCCCCACCCCCACCCCACATAGACACCCTGTGCCTGCTCGGGTTTTCTGGTTCCTTTTTCCCCGGCAGCAGTGATAGCATCACGCTCATTCTCCTTGGGCTCCTGTCAGGTGACGCTGCTGAGTGTGGAGATGACTGCCCTGAAAGAGGAGAGAGACCGACTCAGAGTGACATCTGAGGATAAGGAGCCAAAGGAACAGCTTCAGAAGGCCATCAGGGACCGGGATGAGGCCATTGCAAAGTGAGTGGGATCGCTTGTTTGATTTTATTTTTTAATTAAACAAGTAACATGTGAGTATACCTCAGTTGAAACAATTAAATCCTGCAGAAGAATACAGGGATGAAAAGTTAGAGGCTGCCTGCTGCCCCCCTCACCCCCAGTCCCATTCTTCTCCACAGACACACTCTTGAAAGTTGGGTGTGCATGTTTTGCAGATCTTTTTCCTGTGCGCACATAGGAGTATATGCAATATTGTTGTTGTTACGTGCTGTGGAGTTGATTTTGACTCATAGTGACCCCATGTGCCAGAGTAGAACTGCCCCATAGGGTTTTCTTGACTGTAATCTTTACGGGAGTGGATTGCCAGGTCTTTCTCCTGTGGAGCCGCTGGTGCGTCAAATCGACAACCTTTCGGTTAGCAGCGAAGCACTTAACCGTTTACACCACCAGAGCTCCTTATATGCAATATAGTTGTTGGTTTGTTTTGTTTTTTTAACATCAATAGGATGATATTCTATATGCCTTGCTTTTTTTTGCTTAATATATTTTAGAGAGCTTTCCATTTTGTTTATATATATATTTATAATATATAAAATATATGTTATAAATAATATATATAATTAGTGAATACTTGAATAGCAGTGTGATATAAGGTGTGGGAGGAAAGGGGGAATAAAGTGGTGTGGTGTGCTACAGTTAGGTAATAAAATGGTAAAATTAAGGCACTAATATTATGGAAGCCCATTGGAAATAAAAAGCAGAATAAAGTTACAAGTACAGGCTGGTTGGTCACCTACAGTCAGCTGGGAAAGCAGAAGAGAGATTTAGATTTGATGCAGCTATACTTGCAGGGACCAGCAGGAATCCCAAATCATGTCCCAGACCTTCCCCTAAGGCCTCAGAGGAAAAGGAATGACAGCTGAGGAAACAAATCAGGCACCCCTTGCCTGCTGGGGGTGGTGGGCGGGGGGAAAGGGGGTTGTGCTCGAGGCCCCAGCCCCCATGCAAACATGTCTGGTAGGATGAGCTAGGCCCAGCAAGTCAGGATTCTCTTCAACACTCAAGCCTAGGGCGCAGGAGAGAAGGAATAAGTTGTCCAGTCCCCCTCCCTTAAAAAAGTGGAACCTACCCACCAGGGTAAGGGAGAAGTCACCAAACCTACATGACACCTCGTAATGAGTGCCCTTGACGCTAGCAGAGGTGGCTGATCAGATCTGCAAATTCTCCTCTCCAGAAAGATGCTCCCAGTGGGGGGAACTCTGGAGTGAGGCCCCTGCTCTTCCTGGACCCCAATAGCATAGGCTGGCCCTGTGGGGAGACAGCTAGTGGTATCAGATCACTCCAGAAGGATAGTTCTTTTTGTGCTCCTTACAAATGAAATGAACTTGGTGTACAGTAATTGAGACAGCAGACTTCAGCAGTCATTTAAAGGGTAACCACACCCACATTTGTACAGGACTTCAGATTTTACAAGGTAGTTTCATGTCCATTATCTCAGGTTCTTGATACAGGCTGCACATTAAAATCATTCTGGGCTTCCCCAGAAGAATGCAGTCTGAATCTCGGGGGTTGGGGCTACTTTTTAAAAGCCTCCCCATCCACCCACATTCCTGATTCTAATGGGCAGTCAGGGATGAGACTCCCCCGAGAAAAATAGCTTCCTTCTCCGCAGTGAGCTGCAGGAACCGTAAGATGTACCTTAACCTATACAACAGATGAGCTTCAGAAAAGTAACATAATTCTGTCTCTTGCAGGTGAGAGGCCCTCACTAAAAGCAAAAACAAATGTGGGACTAGTAATCTGCCTCACAAAAATGAGACGATTACTCGTGGTTTCAATAAGGGTTTCTGCTAGCCCTTAGAAATATTCATGTTTCAAAATGTGATTAATACATTAATCAGCAGCTTCTGTAGCTTTGCTTTCGCTGTCTGGGGTTTCTCATGAATGACAAGCACTAAGATTCCTTAGTGAGCAGATGATCCCGAGGGTGGAGTCCGAGGCCAGGGTCTGGAGGTGGGCAACGCGGGCCCTGCCTCGGGGGAGCTCCCGAGAGGGAAGGGGGGACTCCCAGCGCCGAGGCGGGCCGCTGCTGGACCGCGCCCCTTTGGTCCCTTCGGCCCCTCTATCCCAGGGCGTTAGCACATTCCCGGGGCTGTGGCTGCTCTTCGCGCCACCTGCCGGGAGACGCCCGGAAGTGTTTGAGGCTGCAGCCGCCGCGAGGCGCTACGGAGTTTGTTCTGACGTTCTTTGGCTGCGGGGGCGACTGGGATGGGCGTCCATGGCAACTGGCGCCGCACGGTGATGCCGTTCTTCGCCGCCAGCCAATAGCAGCGGGCGTGACAGAGGCGGCCTGCGGCACCTGAGACCCCGACCCTCATTGGAGAGATCAGGTCCTATCGCCGCAGCCCGCGGCCGCAGTGCGGGCGGGGCGGAGGACGGCGCTGGGCGCTGCCTGAGGCGCCTGCTCCGGGAAGGGGGTGGGGGGGTGTCAGGGCAGGTGACTAATTGGTCGGTGGACAAGAGGCCACTGAGGACGTGCTAGTCATTGTGGTGGTCTGAGCGCTTTACAAACGGGGCCTACCTGCTCCTCCTTCCGGCTGCGCTTATGTTAGTGCAGTTGGCGTTCCCGAGGCGTCTGCAGGCGGGTCCTCTGGCTGTCCTCGGCCATGCAGGGGCAAGAGGGCACACTGGTCCCTGGGCCTGTGCATTGGGGACATTTTTGTTATCTTTGCTTTCAGACATGCAAGGTAGCGGTAGATGAAGGCAAGGGCTAATCAAACGCTTTGGCAGCCGGGCTACCAGTGCAGCCTCTTTAGTGGCCACCCAGGACCCTCCCACTTTATCCTAGCCCCACCCATGCCCCCGAAAATTTTTTTTGCGTTGAACAACTATGAGTTAGGAATGTTGGGGAAGACAAACACTAATACTTGTAACGTGTACAAAACATGAAAATACAACCGTGTGTGGGAGGGGCACCCCATCAATGATCATCACCCAGAGATACCAGTTAGACGTTTTTGTGTATGTCCTTCAAATATTTTGCAAAATTGATAACGTACTAGATCTTGTGTTTGGTGCTTTTCTCCCCTCAGCAATTCATGGTGAACATTTCCCCATTGTCAGTAAATATTCAGTGCCCTGGTTCTCACTGGTAACAGCGTTCCCTCCCATTATTTATTGAACTAATTCCCTAATTGTTGGATAGGATGATTAGCTAAGCTGTGAGGATCACCATTGTGTGGCTACCTTTGCACACGTCTGTATCTTTAAGGCAAATCCTGTAATGGGGGAATTGCTAGTCAAAAGGAATCCCTCCCCATAGCAGGAGGACAAACCCTCCCTTCCAGTGGGGACTGACCTGTTTGTTTCGGGGAAGCATTAGTACCTCCTTTGTGCTGTGTGAGGCCTTTGATCTCCTCTAGGTTCCAGTCCTGACTTAAGTATCCTTTTCTTTTAACCACGTTGAACCTCTGTGTCTTCATCCGTGAGATGGTGTTGACAAATAATCTCTTCACCTATGGTTTGGTTATGAAAATTGAGAGGATGTATGTGAAAGCATGTTGCACATTTTCTACAAGTAAAATCACAGTTACTGTTACAGTTCCATCGCTTTGTTATGAATTTGGGGTCAGGGCCTGCTCCCTCCTCCTTTGGACTCCAGATCCTCTGGGGCAAGGTCTCCATGCTCGCCCTGGCTTGTCTGATTTCAGGAAGAATGCTGTGGAGCTGGAACTCACCAAGTGCAGGATGGACATGATGGCTCTGAACAGCCAGCTGCTGGACGCCATTCAGCAGAAACTGAACCTCTCGCAGCAGCTTGAGGCTTGGCAGGTAAACAAGAGCACAGCCCAGGGGAGAGAAGATGAGGCTCCAGGGGGAGTCTCTGAGCCTCAGGCAGTGTGAAGAGAGGTTAACTGGAGGGTCCCATGCAACTGGTGAGCAGTGACCCCAGTCTTCAACCAGCAAAATCCAGAGCTCCCATTCGCCAGCGTCTGGAGAAGAATGTCAGAATGCTCTCAAGAGCAGCAAGCCCCAGACGACTGAGCTGAGGCCGATGTGGTCTCCAGATGTGGCACTGGGGCCTCCTCCTTCGCTGGTCTTCTCTGCTGTTTGAGTTAGAAAGAAACAGCTATTAACATGGAGGGCCCCGGAAGCCCCGGGATGGATGAGAGTTCACAGCTGGATGCAGTTCAGGAGCCCTCAGGCGGCCGGCAGCTGCTGCCCTGCCCTTCTCAAAGGCCATCTTCTCTTTTCCAAGAGCGCTGCCCAGGCGCAGGCCCTGGGGACAATGAGTCAGTGTGTTCACTCCAGGACCACCGTGGTCAGGGTTCAGCAGCTCCCCTCAGGGCTGGCACTGGGACTGGCCTTTTGTTGATGAGGTTGAGGTGGTAAAATTTCAGAATGAGTGTAACCAGTATTGTTTCTCCCCAAGAAAACCAAATGAGACAGGTGAAAAGCCACTTGGCAGCTTTACTGTGGGCAGGTTAGTAGTGCCTGTTCCGCCAAGGGCCCTGCCCTGGGTCCCCTGGCCCAGCCTGTGAAGCTGGCAGAGGTGCCCCGTGGAGTGCTGGTCCCTGGCCGCCCCGGCTCACCGCCCTGTTCTTCTCTCTTCTCTCCTGGCTGCAGTTTGCTTCCTCAGGGCTCTTTACTATCTGGCTCCTTTGGTTTCTGATCTAGTGGCCTTTCTCAGTTCCCGTATCAACAACTTTAGTTGTACACCCCTCCTGCCTTTGAGGTGAGACTGAGCCTGCATCCCATCCCACCATCGCTGTCCTGCCCCTGCCACCTCCCCTTGTGGCCACCATGTCTGTTCCGAGCCCGGCGTCATCTGTGCAGTGTGACGTGCCATTGAGCCCCAGCCTCCCCGCTCCTGTCACCATCACGCCCAGTGGGTGCCTCGTCAGCATGTGGCCAGTGCTCAGGCCTGCCACTGACCTGACCCCGTCCCAGAAATAGTGTTTTGTCCACAGAAGTAATGGCAGATGTGGGATTATGAGCAGCACATGCATGCGTGTGTGTGTGTGTGAAGCTTTAAAATTACATATTTCATGGGATCACCTTGATAAATTCGTTTGCTTAAAATGTAAAACGGCAGTTTGCAATGTGCCAGCGAAAACGTTGTCAGCTTTGAAAGGCTTTCTTTCCACAGGGCCCTTCACTATTCTTGTGCTGCACTTGACAACATCGGTCGTACTGAGCATGGCCCAGGTGCAGGCACTGGGCCTTAGATGCTGCCCGGGGTCCCTCAGCTGCAGGGGCCATGTTTTCTAGTTGTGTGGACCGGCCAGCACCTGCGTGTCAGATCTGAGGGGGGAGTGGAAAAGGGGATGGGAGGGAAGCAGAGTGTGAAGAGGAAGGATGGAGAGGACAGGGAGGCAGAGAGCAGGACACGAGGGAAGGAGGAAGTGAGAGGCGAGGGAGCAGGGCCACACTCACGGCCACCTGGTGACTTGCTCACAAAAGTCTCTGTTTCACACTGAAACGTTCAAAGACGTTTGAGTGACACCAGTGGTGGGACTTTGGGTGAGAACCTGGAGGTGACAGATATAGCTGCCCAGCTTCCTGCCCTCAAGTGAGGGGCTGCTCAGAGGCGCGGAGTCCTCTGCCCTGACTCAGGGAGCCCCACCCCCATGCAGGCCTCACCTGCGCCTGGGCAGAGCAGCTGATGGGACAGGTGTTAGCCAAAGACTGTCTTTTCACCAGGACGGCCCAGAGAGCCCACCTGGCTCAAGACTGGAGGACTCAGGCAGATGCTCACTGTGTTCACTGTTGATGTTAATCAGACAGGGCTGTTCATGTTTCTAAAGCAGAAGCCTCTGTTAGTGGCAGAACCCCTGTCTCAAATGGAGTCTTACACGGAATCAGAATCGAGCAACTAGAACGCAGAAAACAGAACTGCTTGGTGCAGAAGCCCCTCTGTGGAGTGAAACGTGACTGTTCTCTGAGATGGGGGAGGACATTTTCTAGGCAGTTTTAACACACTGGAGGGATGAAGCCAAAGGAAATAGCAGGACAACCCCCTGAAGATGGCACGCCCCATGGACTCTGCCACAAATCAAGCGCTGGGGGAGACTGAAGGAGTGTGGTGAGGGTGGGTGGGTGCAGCACCCAAGGAGCCTCCTGGTGCTTGCCTGCAGGGCACTGGGTATTAGTGGCTCAGACCAGAAATAACTCAAAGGGAAGAAAATGGCAGAAGCCCCTGGGCCAGGCCATCGGGCAGGAGAACTGGCCGGCTGAGGTCACCCTAGGTCGGGTGGGAGGCCAGAGGGCGAATGGGTGAGGGGTAGGGGCAGTGAAGGGAGCTACAGGCACCCAGCCAGCCCCAAGGGCCACAGGGGAGGATAAGCGAGAGAGGCAGGGATACTGCAGCTGTTCTCTGGGCCTCTAGGGACAGACAATCTGAGTGTCCACTGAGGGGGAGGTGGCAGAGAGAGGATGACACCAGCAAGGAGAACCAGCCTTTCCTTGAGGAGACTCTGGAGCCGTGGGCCCATCTGTCCCGTCCCTCCCACACCTCTCTGCTTTCGTTCCTGGTGGGCAGCCCCGGCTGCCACCCTCACTCATCTCACCTCATCCTCATCTCACATCGTTCCAGCACTTGACACCTCCCTGACCCCCGCCCCCAGCCCCAGGCCCGAGTCCCTGCTGAACCTGCAACTCTCCCCCTGCAGGACGACATGCACAGGGTCATTGACCGGCAGCTGATGGACAAGCATCTGAAGGAGCGGAGTCTGCCGGCGTCTTCCTTCTCCAGGGGCCACGGCACAGGGCGGGGGGATGAGCCCGGCGCTGCTGAAGGCAAACGGCTCTTCTCGTTCTTCAGAAAAATTTAAGTTGGGGGGAGCCAGGCTGCCGAGGGTGGGTGGACTGGGGGTGCTGAAGGGGGGCGCAGTCGGGCCCGGCGCACTGTCCCACATGAGGGCCTCGGGAGGCCTGGGCTCCGCGGCTGCAGGAGACTCGGGGTAGGAGTGGTGGGTGGTCTGGCTTGCCCTGTGAAGGGTGCCCGCTACAGAGGGACAGGCACCTGTCCCCGGCACAGGGCCAAGCCCAAGCCTGGGTGCCCCCAGCACCCATTATTGAGCAGAGCTCAGTCTGCCCCAGAGCTGCCCCTGCTCAGCTTTGCCACTCTGACCCACATGTCACACCCTGCCCCACCCCAGTGCTCCAGTGCCCAGTCCCCAGGCACTGCTGCCCTATTTTTTCTGAATATGGGGGAACAAGAAGAAATGGAGGCCCTTCTCTGCATGCTGCAGGTGGCCGCCCAGCCCCTACTAGCTGAGCCTCCCTGCCCTGGCAGAGGGGTGAGGAAGGGATCCCTTACCCATGTGCATGCAGCTCTGTCGGGCACACCTCTGGGCCCAGCACCTCTGGGCAGGTGCCCGTCTGCTGGGGTGTAGCTCACTGCAGGGGGCTGAGCCTAAGGCAGCAGGGCCAAGGGCAGTTCTCTGGCTTAGCCACAGAACCACAGCCGAGCCCCCAGCTTGGCTGAGGCCACCTCCCGAGCCCCAGGGAGGAAGAAGGGCCCTGTTCGGGCAGCCACTTCTCTCCCCACCCAGCCTTCTCCAGTGGCATCCTTCCCCCTAGTTGGCAACTGGGTGGCTGGTGTTCTTTCCCGGGCCCTCTGCGAGTTCAGCCACCCAACCCTTCCCCTCCATGGGCCTGGGGGTGGGACGGCCTGCCCCTCCTCCCACAAGCCCCCCCCCCGCCCCACCCCCTTACATATACTTCTTAGCCCAGCCAAGCATGTCTAGGCCACAGAATAGCCTCAGAGGGGTCTGTGGTCAGCCACCACAGCCACATGGGCAGCACTGGCACTGCGTGTGGGCAGGGGCACTGTGTCAGCCAGGCTGCTGGGAGCTCCATGGCTCTAGATACTGCCCGGGGCTGCAGACGGAATGACCCTGCACCTGCAGCTTCCGCTCCTTCCTCAGCAGCCACCACCCACCACCCACCGTCTCTGCTGAGGCCCCAGGTCAGGCCACGGGCTGGGCGCCTGCCTGCAGCTGCTTCACAGCGGAGAGGAGTCAGTCTCCCTTCCTCAGGGGCAAGCACAGCAGAGGCGAGTGGTAAGAATATAACTATAGATATGTACATACCAGTGCTGTAACTTTTGTATGTAGCAATCATGTAAATACATGTATGGATTTTATAATATACATATTATATATAAATCTATAAAGGCATATTTTTAGAAAAAACAACGCACCACTGCTTCTTTTGAAAATAGTCTGAATAAGAATAAAATGAATTTCTACAGAGCTCCCTGCCTCGGTCTTTGGGTATTTGGACGGGCTGGTTGGTCAGGATGCAGCTTGCATTTCAAACAGCCACTGGCTGAGGAGGAGCTGGCAGTAGAGGCGTCACACTGGAAGGTGTCCCACACCTAGGTGCCCACCAGAACTCAGCTAGAAGAGGCCCCCTCCTGAGGTGGCAGTGTCCTGCCCTCCAGGCCTCCAGTCAGTGACAGCTGCTTTGGGAGCAGGGGTCACAAGCACTGGGCTCACCACCAGCGGTTGCAGGGTGCCCAGCAGGCAGGAACTGTCAGCCCTGCTTCCTGCTCAGCAGGCCCAGGGCTTGGCAGAAGCTTGGAGCCAGGAAAACACCGCTCAGGACAAAGGCTTCCACTGCACCCTGCCGGCACGCGGAGGGGGACACGGAGCTTGTGCTGGCATCTTACCACATGTGCCCTGGCCACCGCGTCAGGGAAGGGGAAGTTCAGCCCTGAACCGGCCTTTCCCAAAGACAGACTTGGGCTCAGAAGGTGGCCCAGGACCTGGCAGGCACCTGTGCAGGCCTTCCACGAGAACAAACAGGCCAAACCCACCCAGAGCACAGCTGGAGAAGAGGAAACAGACCCTGGAAGAAAATTTGGCAGCTTGAACCTTTATTTTTAGTATTTTTTTAAAAAGCATAATTAGAAATTTTCAATACAGAAATAATCCTAGCAAACCATTTAAAAGTTCTGTTGTTTGACAGGAAATTTCACATCAGGTCCACCAGGATGTCAGCCCAACCCTGTGAGTCCCCCACCCCACCCCTCACCCCTCCCTTTGTGTGTGACACTCGGGATAGCACGCTGTTGTCCCCAGATCATGCCACCCAGAGCTGGACATCCAGTGACCAGAAGCCCTGGGGGCTCCTCACCTGGGCTGGAGGCTCCCAGGCTCCCCTCTTACTGTGTGAATTTGCAAGCATTCCCATGCTGGCTTCACCTGAATGCTAAGTTAGAAGTATGCCCACCCTCCCCACAGAGCCGCCAGCTCTGTGTTCCCAACAGCACCCACGTTCTGCCAAGACGGTCCTGAGGACAGAGGCCAGGCTTCTGCTCTCAGCTCCCCCAGACCAGATGGGGCTACCAGCTGGTCGTCGCCAAGCAGGCACCCTCCCTAGCCCCCTGAGCTCCCCACCCCATCCTGCGGCTCCGTAGCAGGGCCTGTCACACAGAGCCGCAGGCTTTTGGCAGCTGGGGAAGTGGAGAGAGAGGTCAGAAGAAACCCCCAGTTTTTACTGATTAAAAACCCATCCAACAGTGTTTAACATGGAGAATCTGCAGTGTGATCCATGATGTGATTGTCCAATCAGGACTTTGCCTGGAAATCACCTTGGAAAGGAAATCGAATAAATCAAATCCTGGTGTTGAAATTGCCAGGTTCCGTGATCCTCTGGGGGGAAAGGTGAAGGAAGTGTCCTGAGGGGAGGGGAGGAGAACAGTATCAAGTGCAGATGACCCTGGTTTTTCCTCCAGGGGACCAGGGCCAGTCAAAACTGGCAGCCCCCAGCTACCATTCCTCCCCACCCGCTAAGAAATGCTCATGCCACCTTCGTACTAAAAGTCTGTCAGTGACCCAAGGTTGCCTGGAGCCCCCGTTCAGAGGTGTCGTTCCCACAGTCCAGCAGCCCCCACCCACGACCCACATTCAAAGGTGCCTGGTGCTACACCAGCCCCAGGAACTCCAGTCGGTTGCGGTGGGGGGGCCTGGACTGACCACAGATCAGGTGGGAGGCCCCGTGTCCTTCCCCACCAGGAAGCAGCCAGAAAGGCAGAGCTACTCTGCCTAGAGCCCAGCCCCGCATGAACAAAAAGCCATTCACTTTTTCTAAAAACAATGGACCCGAAGTGGGGAGGCCACAACTTTTGATGCTGTGCCAGTCAAACTTCGGGGAGAGAAAAGAAGCGTGAGGAACTTCATCCATTTCATTTGGCTGAATTGTCTTTATCTGTTCAAATAATGCTCCTCTAGCCCTCCTACCAGCCGTATCCCTGCACGAACATACCCCTGCCTTTCTGTTGGAATTGAAAACATTTTGGTATAAATTAGACGCTTACATTCCCCTGGGCTTGTGGCTCAGAGGAGACTCAGAGGCAGGACAAGAAACCTGCTGGCCAAAAGGCAGGACTGCCATCCTCTGTCAAATGAAGGGCTGGGGCCGGCAGAGGGAGGCCTCTGATGGGACCCCCAAGCCTCACTCAAGGCCTGGCCTCCCAGTTGCCAGACGGTTACAGGTCGGGGAAGCGGGCCGGAACGGAGACAGCACAGGCCCTGGAGAAGAGTCGATGACGGGGCAGCAGCCAACAGCCTGCAGGGCAGAAGTAACGGCGTCTACTCCCCCAGCCCGGGTTGCAGAAGGCGTGGCCAGAAGTGGTCCTGTCTCCTCAGGAAGCTGTTGGCAGGAAGATGGGGTGGGGTGAGGGTCTGTTGCAGCAGGCTGGCATTAAAGAGGCAAACGCCAGAGCAGGACGAGGGAATGCAGCTGGTTAACGCAATATACATTATGTACAGACTGGTGACTCGTCCACTCACTGGCAGCATCCGAGCCAGCTCTAGGCGCCTGGGCCGGGGCGGGGGACACCAGCAGGGAAGGGCAGGTTTGTCCAACACCTTCTTGGCACTCGAGGGGGGAAAGAAGGAAGGAAATGCCGATGGCGCCTCCAGATACAAAAACGTGGAGAGAAATCTTTAAATAACGGCACGAAACTGAGACTGTCCCCCGAGGAGCCCCCCGTGGGCCTCGGGCCGGGGAGTGACCACAGTGCAGTCCCTGCAAGTGGCCTGGCTGGGCCATTAACAGCAGCGTTTCTTTCGTTTACTGTTCTTCGTGAGCTTCACCACATCGTTCTGTTGCTGCTGCTGCTGTCTGGCTAGGTTGTCTTTCTTTGCTCGCAGGACCAGCTCTGTGATGCAGTTGAACATCTGTGGAAGGGAAAGGAGGCAGGGTGGCCTCAGACCAGACCGCTGGTCTGGCCCCAGCCTCCTAGTCCTACTTGCTAATTTTGTGTATGTCTGTCCTTGACTGCAAGCAGCTACAAATCCTTCTAGAAGGAGGTGGTGAACTGGTTCATTTAAAGGTCAAAAAGGACCAACATCAAAGACCCACGAGCTGTGTGCATTTGGAGAAGTCACTTAATCTCTCAGGGATTTTCCAGTCTCTTTTTTTCAAGGAGAGAAAGAACCCCTTTCCTTCAGCTGGAATCTTCTGACAAGACAAAGGTGCAACTGCTCTGCGGATGGGACCAGGGGGACCCACTGCCTGCCTGCTCTGCGGATGGGACGAGGGGGACCCACCGCCTGCCTGCTCTGCGGATGGGATGGGAGGGACCCACCGCCTGCCTGCTCTGCGGATGGGACGGGAGGGACCCACCGCCTGCCTGCTCTGCGGATGGGACGGGAGGGACCCACCGCCTGCCTGCTCTGCGGACGGGATGGGAGGGATCCATCGCCTGCCTGCTCTGCGGACGGGACAGAGGGGACCCACCGCCTGCCTGCTCCTATCACCTCACTGCACACGGAGCCTGAGGTCCTGCCTAGAGCCTTTCCCAGGTCACCCGGGGGTCCTTCTGATGTCAGGATCCAAGAAATTCGATGTGCCAATCCACAGTCCTCTCCTTCACACATCAGTCAATAGTAATGATGATGGCAGCAGCAGGAGGCATAAAAAAGGTGGGCCAACATCTATAAAGCACTCACGTGACACAATTTAGGAGTAGTGCAAATGGTTAACAAGCTCAGCTACTAACTAAAAGATTGGAGGTTTGAGTCTACCCAAAGGCACCTCAGAAGAAAGGCCTGGCAATTTACTTCCAAAAAATCACCATTGGAAACCCTATGGAGGCCAGTTCTACTCTGACAGACATGGATTGTCATGAGTTGGAATCAACTTGGTGGCAACTGGTTTTACTGGTGATATAGTTTACTTCATTTAATCCTCACAACTTGGGAGGAAGGGACTCTCATTCACCCCAATTTACAGGAAGAACAGATGGAATGTGGAGGTGAGTCACCCCCACAGTCACACTGGCTCTAACAACAGGGCCCCATGTGGGAAGACCAGTACGGTGACTAGTCTGACTCTCAGGAGCCTAGGCTAGGCTCCCAACACCGTGCTGGCTGTGTTCCAGGATGTAGCGGGAAGCCTGCCTTCCCCGGGGCCTTGGATCCAGGCATCAGTGAGGCAGGACCTTCCTAAGGCAGGTGAGTGGGCCAGGCCAGGCTGTGGCAAACGGTCTGGCTCTTCTCTCACAGAATCACAGCTGCTTTCAGCAGGCCCAGCAGAAGCCACAGGAAGCAGCCTGGTCTCAGCAGGGGGGCCAAGGCCCAGGAAAAGCAGAGAGCTGAGGAGGTGACAGTGGTGTGGCTAGGGGAGGGGGCAGCGAGACGGGATGGGGTGGAAGCTGTGCACAGCTTTGGTGTGAGACACATCAAAGTTTGACCCAGCTACTTAAGCTGGGTGATATTCCCTGAGTTACTTAACTCGGAACCTCACTTGCCCTATCTGAAACATGGGCATAATTATACCTACTTTAGAAGACTGATGAGAAATAAGCTAACACCAAAGGTCAATAATTACTCTAAAGTAGAGATGAGAAGATAAGGGGGCAGGGAAACTAGAGTACTGGAAACGGAACAGCCAGAACACAATTAAAGAGAATGCTGACTCTGTGAAAAATGTAACTAATGTCACTGAACAATTTGTACAGAAACTGTCAAATGGGAACCTAATTTCCTGTGTAAACTTTCACCAAAAACACCATAAAATATCATTAAAAAAAAAAACTGAGCTAACACCTTTAGCGTTCTCAGCACAAAGCCTGGCACATAGTAGACACTTGACAAACAGCAGTTACTATGTCGCTTTCTGCTAGTCTGCAGCGGGAAGAGGAGGGCAGGGTGGTAGGGCAGGGCCAGGCACCTCCTCCTGGGGCCAGCGCTTGCCAGGCCTCCGCCCAGCCTCACCTCCTCCACGTTGACGTTCTCCTTGGCGCTGGTCTCAAATAACTGGATCCCCATCTGCCCGGCGAATTTGTAAGCATCTTCTGTCTCCACCACCTTCCGCTCGGGGTCGTCGTTCTTGTTCCCCACTTCAAGACAAAGCAGAGTAAGCCTGGCCCTGCAGGGCACCCAGCCGCCCTCCGCCCCGCCGTCGCTCCTCCGGATGTGGTCTCACCTAGTATTCGGCACACGTCGTCACAGTTCTGGTTGATTTCATGAAGCCACCGCTTGACGTTGACAAAGGACTCGGCACTGGTGACGTCGTAAACCACGATGACCCCGTGGGTCCCCCGATAATACCTGCAGGGCCAGGGTCTGTGTCAGAGCTTTCCCGCAAGCCAGCCCCAGTCCAGACCTTGCTCAGACCACGCCCTGGGCAACAGGGAAGGACACGCTGGCCCGACCCTGCACCCCCACACTTTGCCACTGAGTCCCCAGCAGGGAACAGTAAGCCCTCGGCCCGAGGGGCTGCCCGTGAGCACAAACCTAGGTGGTTCACAGCTTGCCCCTGGCGTGAAAATTCTTTGAAGTTCTTGTTTTATTTCTAAAATGCAGGCAACTTTTATATTTGACATATTACCACTGTGCTTGTTTTAATATTCAAAAAAAGTTTTTTCTCCTCAAATTTCTTTTAGTAAAATGCCATTCCAAGAAGATGCACCATTTGTGAACACCCCAGCAAAGTCTGCCTTCGCCGCCCTGGAGGCTGGTTGGCAGGAACGATTTGGGAGAGGGCATCCCAGATACGCCCATTATCCCAAACGTGCAGACCCCATGGCCTGAGAGCTTAGTGAGGTCTGGAAGAAGGATACAAAACATCCCTCTGCCAAACTGCTAGCACTGCGTCCCCATCCACACAGATGGTTCAGGAAGACAGAGGGAGGACATCAACCCCGGGGAGGGGGGGCCTCCACCTCACCCAGGAGTCTTCACAAAGGCAGGCGGCAGCCCCTCCTGGCACCACGGAATCACCCCGAACTGCCCCTCGGAACCTCTTCCCAGAGGTGCAGGAAAACCACGGCAGAGGTTCGCAATCCTGGGGCCTCTCAGAGCCCAGAGGTTAAGAACTGTTGCCGCAAAGGAAGACGAGCCCGGAGTGCAGGGCTGTCTTCTCTCCTGACCTCTGGCTGCACCCGTGCCAGCCCTCAGCACCTCTTAAGGCTTATCTGAACCTACGAGCTCAGCCCCCGAGCCCGCAGGGAGAACCATTCCTCCCCTAAACCCGGTTCCGAGGCAACAGAAGATGGTGAGTGCAAGCATGTCCTCACTGCCTGCCTGTCAGCTGCTGGCAAGCCCTTCGCATGCTTGGCCCCATCAGAGAAGAAAACCAGCCCTGGCCCCAACTCTGAAAGGCTCTGGGGCCTTGTGAGGGTTACTTCACCTCTCTGAGCCTCAGTTTCCTCAACTATAAAATGGGGACACTGGTACTTACCTCTCGGTGGTTGTGAGGAATAAAGGAGATGACATCTGTCATCACAAGGTGGTGTCTCCTAAGTGGCTTGCCCACGGTGGAGCCGTAGCAGCCGCCTGCTGCTCTGGGTCAAGTCCAGCCTGTCCCCTAGGTCTGCCTCTCCACCCTCAGACACCAGTAAGATTTCTCCCCCTGGGCTCTTCCTTCTGCCCATGGCTTTGCCTTTCCAGGGATGCAGCCCTCCCTGACTCTGCGGGAGCCATAACAATGACACCACCTGTGGGACCAAACCCTCTAGACACTGGGCCCCCCACTCATCACAGGGCTCGGTATGGCCGATGTGCGCCTGAGAGGGTATGAAGGACATGCCGGAACCATGGGAACAACTGTCCCTGAGCCAGCGTGGAGGTGTTCCCAAACCTCCTCTGCTGAGGACTACAGAGAATGCCAACAAATGCCCACGGCCTGGAGCCGGCACACAGCCCCCGGCTTCTTCCGGGGCCTCCACCTTCCCAGGCCCAGGGAAGGGGCTGTGTCCAGGAGCCCAGCGCTGTGGGAGGAAAGGCACCCGTACTTCTAGGCTCCAAGGAGGAACCCACCTCCTTGCTACTGTCACCATTAACAGTCACCAGAGAGTCACCTGGAGCAGGCAGAGCCAAGCACGCTCTACCCACTACTGTCTACAATCTTGCAACAACCTGGTTCAGCAGGTACTACGATGGCCATTTTTACCAGGGAGGACGTGAGGCTGAGAAGGGAAGTGACACCTGGGTCTGACACCCGACCCAGGTCTCAAGGGGGTCCTCTTCCTCATCACCTCTTACCTCCACCATCGCCTCCCCCTCGCTCCTCCCCTAGCCTGTGCTCCCAGTGGCACCTCTCAGGGTCGGCAAACCCCAGCAACAAGAGACAAGGGTGATGGGGGGGATACAGGACCAACAGGATGCAGTTGTAGTATCCCTTTTAATGCCCTGAATCAGAGAAGGTCACACTAGTGCACCCTGACTGCCCGCCTCCCTGTAAAAAGACGAAACTCCTATAACATTCAAGGTCCCACGGCCCCCGCTCGCCAGCTGCCACTGTGGCACCAAGTCTTTGGGAAGCATCATGCGCGATGGCTACATGAGCCCCACGGGAGCCCACCCCCCACTGTGGTCCCTGCCCCTTGAGGGCCAAAGTCAGAGGCCTAAAATGCAACTGCACCCTCAGCCCCCTAGACAGCCAGCCAGCAAGGACCTGGCCAAGGACCTGGTGCAGGGTCGCACCCTATGGTGCAGTGAATTATTTAATATGGCCCTTCTAGCCCTAGTCTTCGTAACTCCCACACAATGACTGGGTGGGACAATGCAAATAAGGTGTATGGAATCCTAACAAAGGGGATTGGTCAGTTTTGCCATCCCTAGGCTTAAAAGAGAGCCAATCCCATGGCAGGGTCGGGGAGGGGAACCTGACTACCACCAAGAAGACATGGGAGCAGAGTGTATCCATTGGATCCGGGATCCCTGCACTGAGACCCTCCTAGACCAAGGAGACAGAGAGAGAGCTATAACACCAAAGATGGCAAGGCAGCGAGAAGCAGCAGCAGAGAAACGGCAACAGCAGAGGCAGCAGAACCAGGAGGCCAGCAGGAGATGGCGCAGTGAGCTTCCTGGCCTACAGAGCAAGAAAGCTGAGTGCCTTTGGGCCAAGGCTTACTCGTGGAGTAGGGTACCTCCAGGCACTTCTCAGCAGAGCTAAAAGAGCTTCATAACACTTGCCCAAGCGGGGCAGAGCCTAGGCTGGCCCAAGAGGCCAAAGGAGCCGAGGGCCAGAGTGAGGACTGCCTGAGGGCACAGCTGAGAAGAGGCTGTCCTGATTGAAGAACTGTATCCTGAGCATTCCTGAACCTGAACTGTAACCTGTAACTTCCCTAATAAACCCCATAATTGTGAGTATGGTGTGTGAGTTCTGTGTGGCCACTGTAACGAATTATCAAACCCAGCAGAGAAGTAGAGAGCACCGTGGGAGGGATGGTTGGTGTCAGATCTGGTAAAGATGGTGGAGAGAGGAGGTGTGTCTGACCTCTGCCTCATGGGAATCAGCCTTGGGCTGTTGATCGTGATTCTCCTTCCCCCTTGTGAAGTTAGAGGAGGTCAGACACCCCCTCCATGTCATTCTTGTCCCTGCCACGCCATTTTTACAGTTGGTGTCAGAAGCAGGATTCGTTGCAATGGCTCCAAACTCATGGAAGCATGGGACTTTGTTAAGAGAAAGAATAAAGGGGCGTGGGAAGTGACACTTTCGATTCTTAGATGGTTGCTTTGGTTGTTATCTGTAATAACTGAAAGGAAAGTGAGAGATGTTATGCTACAGCGGGAGACAGAAAAGCCGCAAAGCTGCATCCGGAGTGGCTGGGGCAAATGCCAGGCAGGTTCAAAGGGATGACTGATAGGGGGCAAGGGTCATCTGGTTCCACCCAGCCAGAAGCCTGAGGCCATATGCATATGAATGGGAAGATAGTCAAGGAGTGGAGGAGATGAAACTGGAATGTCTTTAAAAGGGTTATGTGTTTATTTGAATGTACTGTGGATATTGAATGCTTCTCCTACCTAGTGTAAAGCAGACCTAAGTGTATGACAGAAATTAATATTGGGTATTATAGACAACAGAGATCGTGTAACTCTGCCTTCAGCCAATACCTGATTGGATGTGCTGAAAGGGGACTAGGATTTGCCCCAAAGAAACACAGGCTGTTGGTTTGAATGCAATAGCCCTGTGTACAGAGTACTGGGGGCATAGGTCAAAAACCTGAGCCCCACCCAGAATCTTCAAATTCGCATTTGAAAAGACATGCAGACCTACCCAGAACTGCTGAGGGAACAGGAGATTTGTATTTGAAGGAAGGACCTGCAGGAAAAAAAGTGACTGCTTTCCTTTTTGAATTTCGAGCAATAGGTTTCCCTTTGGGTGCACCGAGGCAGGAAAAGTCAGTGCCCATCAGAAGACACCCCTACTAGGACAAGAAGTTAAAGGGAGACAGTGAGTAGAACAGCCTGGCATGCTCACGTGACCACCTGGGTCCACTCGATGAGTGGAAGTGGAGGAGGTACAGCAATGAAGAGATGGGCTAAGTTTAGACATGTTCCACTAGTACCCTGTTGACCTAGCCCACAGAGGCTAGGGATGAGAGAGAGATCGAGAGAGAGAAGGGGCTGGCAGGTCTGAAGTGCAGGGAGTTGTGTGGACTCCTGAGCCTACGACTGGTACCCACTGACCTAGTCCACAGGGGCCAGGGATGAGCTGACCAGAACCCAACCAAATGAAGATAAAGATGTTTGACACTGTGAGCTGGTGTAGACTGCTGCAATTTGATGGCTTGCTCTGGACTGGACTTTGCTTATGGATGCAGATGCTCAGAGTTCCAACTGGAACAGAAGATTCTTCAGAGAAAGGCACATGCTTATCTCCTCAGACTACTGGTTTGATAGGGATGAACAATTTAAACACTGGCTATCTAAAATGGGGGGAGATAAAGGCAATGAAGTGGCTGGCTTACACACTTTTATGGGTGTGCTATCAAAGTAAGGGGGACAAGCGACAGGGAACAGAGGGTGGGGGAAAATGCTGATAGGGTTATATGACTCAGTTGTGAGTGTTGACTGTTAACAGAGTTAACTGCGATGATGAAAACTGTATCTGCAAAAGCAAACTGCGAAAGAGTGGACCAAGGGAGGGGCGCAACTGGACTGGAGTACAGTGGCTGAACCTAAAGTCCTTTAAAGATTTTGCTATGCTGATACCTCATAAGGCTCAGAGCAAGGGAATAATCTTCTCTCAGTTAATTCAGAGGCCAGAAGTGGTGAAGACAAGATGACTTTTGGAGAACATGACTAGATCAGATGGACACCTGCAGGAGACCTAAATGGCTGGTACCTGAATAACCTCACCCTGTGGACTCTTTGCCCTACTGAAGGACTAATCATTAATGACTGTTTTGGACTGGTAAAATGATTAGGAGAAGTCAATCCTTCCACTATGAAAGGGCCAAAAGCTAGAAGAGCCAAGGCATGGCCTGTGGTGCAGTGCGTATGTAATGTGGCTCTTCTTGCCATGGTCTTTGTGACTCCCACACAATGACTAGGTAGGACTATGCAAATAAAGGGCTTGTGACCCACCAAGGGGATTGGACAGCTTGCTAAAAATGCAAATAAGGTATATGGAACTGTGCGGGAATGGAACCGTGCAAATGAGTATATAGAACCCTAATGAGGGGATTGGTCAGTTTTGCCATTCTGCTAGGCTTAAAAAAGAGCCAATTCCAGAGCAGGGGGTAGGGGAGGCTGACTACCATCAATAAGAAGAGACGGGAGCAGAGTGTACCCTTTGGACCCAGGATTCCTGCACTGAGACCCTCCTAGGCCCAGGAAACGGAGAGAGAGAGAGCCATAACACCGAAAACGGCAAGATGCCGAGACCAGCAGCTGCAGAGGCAGCAGAACCAAAAGACCAGCAGGAGACAACATGGTGAGCTTCCCGGCCCAAGGAGAAAGAGAGCTGAGTGACTTCGGGCCGAGGATTACTGGAGGAGTGGGGTGCCTCCAGGTACTTATTGGCAGAGATAAAAGAGCTTTGTAACACTTGCCCTAGCAGCCAAGGAACAGAGAGAGGCGTGCCTACGGCACAGCTGAGAAGAAGCTGTCTGTAGAGTGTTCCTGAACCTGAATTGTAACCTGTTACTTCCCTAAGGAACCCCGTAACTGTGAGAATGGTCTGTGAGTTGTGTGTGGCCACTGCAACGAATTACTGAACCCATCAGAGAAGTAGAGAGTGCTGTGGGAGGGACAGTTGATGTCCAGAATTGGTAAAGATTGTAGAGAGGAGATATGTCTGACCTGCGCCTCATAGGAATCAGCCTGGGGCTGTTGATCTTGATTCTCCTTTCCCCTTGTGAAGTTAGAGGAGGTCAGATGCCCCTGCCATGCCATTTTTATACCCCCTTTCTCAAGCACCCTGGAAAAATCATGTGTTGCCCTCAGGTGGCTGAGAAACTCCTCCAAGTATCCTAAAACAAATGAAGGAGGCAGTTAGCCCTCCTCGTAGCCGCCCAGCCTGCAGTCAGGACTGGAGCTGGGGGATGGACTATGGCTCCTTTGGCCAGAACGGCCTCAGACCCCCAGCCCCCAGCCTGGTCTCAGCATTTCCGTTGCCACAGGCTGAATATTCTGTGCTGTCCTGACTTCGCTGGTTGGTTTTAACCAGAAAGCTCTGACGTAGCCACTTTCCCCATCCCCTGCCCTCCTGGGGCAGCACAGACTGGGGTGGGTGCTGGTTAATGCTGGTTAAGAGCACGAGACAGACCTAAATTCAAATCCCTGACTCCTCCACTTACCAACCAAGCTAAGTCACTTTACCCTCTCTGGGTCTCAGTTTTCTCATCCACGAAATGGACACAATCATAGGACACTTCATCAGGTTAAATGAAATAAAGTAGGTGAAGGCCTCAGCGACAGTCCCCGGCCCATAGTAAGGACATCTGCCCAAGGAACCCCTGGCCCTAGCCATTCTCCTTGGGCCCCACTAGTAGCTGCTGAGACGCAAGCAGGCCAGAAGAACCCTGCTCAGTAGCTCATCAGCAGGCAGTCACCGAGAGCTGCACCCGGTGTACGGGGAGCCATGAACGAAGAGACATGTGCTCACTACAGGGCCAGCCCAGTGATGTACCCTGCTCGAGCCACAAGCACGAGCCCCTCCCCAGCGCAGGCTCTGCCCCCTCGCACTTGCCACCCCCCAGAAGATCCTGAGCCCCATGATGGGCAGCCAGCCAGGCATGTGCCCATGTTTCCATGCAAAAGGGAGGAAAGGGCTCTCTGGATGGGACTTCATTCCTGGGAGCCCTCACGGCTGAGGAACTGCTCTGCCGGGAGAAAAAGGCAATTCCCTGAGAAGAAGCAACTACCACGCGCCTGACATGGACGGCTACTCTGACCACTGCTGTGTGGAGCACGGCTCTACCATTTGCTAGGGGCAGGGCCACTTCTTAGAAGCTGGCTCATCTGTGAAATGGGGATGCTAATACACCGAGCGCAGAGTTGTTACGGAGTCCAAGGAGAGAATCCCTGTCGAGCCCACAGCTACAAGGACCTGCACATAGCCGAGGAGAGAATCCCTGTCGAGCCCAAAGCTCCAAGGACCTGCACATAGGACTCAGCAGTCAAGGAGGTCCTAATAGAACCCAAGGGTACACAGCAGGGCAGAGACCGAAAGCATCAACTGTCTGCCCTCAATGCCCTGCTCTTTCCTGGAACCTGCTTCATTAACAGTCCAAACAAGACCCCAGGCCCCTTCACAGGGCTCCTGTTCAGAGATGGAGCTAAATTTTGCCTCCTGTGGCAGCAACGAACCACAAAGGGGCTGCCCAGCAGTGAAGGTGGACAACTGGGCTTCCCAGGGCATGGCAGTAGCAGCAGAGGAAGGCGCGGCAGCTTCATGCACACCAATGCCCTCCCAGGCCTGCCAGCAGAGACGTCACCACCGAGACCCCAGCTTCACAACTGACACCTAGCAGCAGTGATGGCCACTAAGTGGTCACTTGTGCAGGGCATTTCACAACCTCCTGGTGAAGCAAATCCCACTGTTATCCCCATTTTAAAGGACCTGAAGGCCACAAAGGAAGCTGCCTGGCCCAAGGTCCCATGGTTATTGTGCTGTGAGACTCCAGAGCCGAGTGCTCAGTCACTGTCCACCCATGGACAGTGGCCACCCTGTACCCCCCTCCTCTCACATCTTCAGGATGAGGACGAGTGCAGACAAAGATGGCCCAACTGCGGCCAGCAACAAGCTCTCTTCCCAACAGCCCCAGTGACCCATCCCAGTGACATTTCTACCATGCCACGGCACTATCCACCAACAGTGTCCAAACGTCGGTGGGAAGGGTTATGAGTGGGAGCGCACAGGAGACTCACGTGGAGGTGATGGTGCGGAAGCGCTCCTGCCCGGCCGTGTCCCAGATCTGCAGCTTCACTTTCTCCCCATTGATCTCCACGGTGCGGATCTTGAAATCCACTCCGATCGTGGTGATGTAGCTGCCTGCACACACAAGGCATGTTGTCAAAGCCCAACAGGTGGCAGCAAGTCCTTGACGGCAGTAGGGCCCCACTGACTGAGTGCCCAGGACAGTTCTGGGTTGCAGGGAGACAGCCCTGAACAAGGAACACAAGGTCCCTGTGCCATGGAGCCTACAGTCAAGTGACTGCAAAAGACAATCTAACATATAGTGATAAAGAAAATCACTTCCAACAGTGCAAGTGCTACAAAGGCATAACACAGGGTAACGTGACAGAGCGGGTACCTTTGATCAGAGTGGTCAGGGTGGGGACTGCCAGCTGGGGCGTAAGAATGGGGGGAGACCTATCACGCACTCTGGTCTTTCCTAGTCTATTCAAGAATTTTTAATGACCCAAAAAATTAACTTCTGGTGCACAAACAGGTTACGACCTGTGCTATGAAAACCAGGCACAGGAGAGAGTAACACAAATAGCACTGGTGCGTGTGTGCGTGTGTGTGGAGAGCTGGGGAGGGGGGGTGTCACGCATGAGGTGTCACGCAGGTAGAGGGAGGCCGAGGGCAGATCTCAGGCCTGTGTGCCATCTCAGAGCTTGGGCTTCATCCTGCATGTGGTGGGAGTCGCAGAAGGGTTTTAATCAGGGCCTGGCCTGCATTTTCAATAGCTCTCTTGGGCCTCTTGTAAAAGATGAATTTGAGGAGAATTTCTGGCTGGTATAATACTCCAGTCCAGGCTTACAAAGGTCTCAACACTAAGAACACGCGTTCTCACTACTTTCGGAACTTATACTTTGACTGTTTACAATGTAGCAGGTACTTTCGCAGTTCAAAAGCAGACTCCTTTTGGAACTTAGTATGTAGGAGAGAAGGCACCCAAAAAGAAGCATGTAAAATAAAGTGTGGTGACTACATCAGGAAGGCCAAAGGTCACAGTGAGTAGAGATCAAGGAAGAATCAAGGAAGAAGTCACATTTGGGCCTAGTTTGAAAGAACAGCTAAGATGTCAAAGGTTGAGATTAGGTGGTGGAAAGACATGCTCCATAGAGGAAAACAGTTCATACAAAAGCACAAAGAGAATGCATTCAGAGAACAAGCCAGCATGTCTGAGTCTCTGAGTCCCGGATAATGTCAAGGGGTGTGGCCCAGCACTATTAACCAAAACCCATGGCCATCGAGTCAATTCCAACTCATAGCAACCCTCCGGGAGAGAGAAGAACTGCCACAGGAGAAGTGCCCCATAGGGTTTCCAAGAAGCAGCTGGTGGATTTGAACTGCCAAGCTTTTGGTTAGCAAATGAGCTCTTAACTACTACGCCACCAGGGCTCCAGGCACTCCAAAAACACACCAAACCCGTTGCCAACCAGTCGATTCCGACCCATAGCAACTCTACAGGACAGAGCAGAACTGTCCCACAGGGTTTCCAAGGAGCAGCTGGTGGATTCGAACTACCAACCTTTTGGTTAGCAGCCACCAGGGCTCCATGAGGCACTCAGTAAATAATAGTTGAATGAATAAGTGAGCAGACTGAAAGAACAAGAGAACGAACAAACAGTATGAGGAAGTTGGAAAGGTAAACTGGAATAGACTGTGAAGACCTCTGAATGTCATGCTAACACTATAAACCAGTGGTTTGCAAGTGAGGACCATTTTGCCCCCCGGGGGACATCAGTAATGTCTGCAAACATTTATGGCTGTTACAACAAATGGGGTGGTACTGGCATCTAGTGGATAGAAGCCAGGGATGCTGCTAAACATCCTACAATGCAAAGGACAGCCCCACAACAAGTAATTACGTGGCCCAAAATGTCAACAGTACAAAGGTGGAGAGACCTTGCTATAAACTTCGCTCAGGTAAGAGAGGGACACTGAGGTTTTTAAACAGAGGAGAGACACTGCCAGAGCCATAGAGCATGGCTCATAGTGACCGCATGTGTGTCAGGGTAGAACTGCACTCCATAGGGTTTTCAATGGTTGATTTTTCACAAGTAGATCACCAGGCACCTGTGGGTGGACTCAAACTTCCAACCTTTCAGTTAGCAGCCAAGCACCTCAATCCAGAACCACAGATTATCAAAATGAATTTAGCAGTCTTATATAGGAGCTATTGTAATGCCTCAGGCTAGAACCCACAACAGTCTAAACTAAGTTAGTAGTAGTAGAAATGGAAATGAGAGAGATTGCAAAAGAGTACTCCAGGATTCAGAAGCTGATTGGATGCGGAGCTAGAGAGGTGTTAAAGAGCAACAACAATGTTTGGCAGTATAATCAGAGGCTGATCATTAGCTGCCATCCTTGAACAGAAGATAACAATAACAAATACCTAGTAATATTTACTGAGAAGCACCACGGCATGCGATATCAGGTAATCCTCACCAACCCTATGGAAGGACTATTATTATTCCCACTTTACAGATGAGACTTGGTCACTGGCTCAAGGTCATATGGAGAATCCAACTCTTCCTAACACCACACCAGTGTGCTGCAGGGCCAAACCCACTTCTCCCCGTAATCACAAGTCATCAGGTGACTTTTAGCTTGCCCTCAACCACACCACAGGGAAACTCCCACAGATAATCACATTTCAGTCCTCAATCGGAGCCACTAACCCAACCCAAAGCCTCTATAATGAACCTGATGTATTAGACACACGAAAGCATGTTCAACCTCCCTGGTGATGAGGGAAATAAAATTTTAAATGAGACACCACTTTTTGCCTGTCGGCTTAGCGAAAATGAAGACGACTACTAAGATCCAGCACTGACTCAAGTTGGCCAGTGGCACTTTCAAACCCCTTCAGTTTTTTGGTAAGACAATTTGCCAGTACTTAACAAAATTTTAAGGGAGCCCTTGTGGCACAGTGGTTAAGCATTTGCCTAGATGAAAGGTCAGCGATTTGAACCCACTAATCGCTCTGTGGGAGAAAGATGTGGCAGTCTGCTTCCATCAAGATTACAGCCAAGAAAACCCTACGGGGCAGTTCTCCTCTGTCCTATAGAGTCGCTATGAGCCAGAAAAGACTCAATGGCAGCGGATTTGGTTTTTTCGGTTAAGAAAATTTTAAACGTACATAACCTCTGACACGGTATCTCCACTTGTATAGAAACGGCCTATACAGGTATACCAGAATATCCTTACAATGTATTGCAGCTACAAGACTATATATACAATGTATCACAAGTAATGTAGCAACCCTTGTAACAGACTCCACCACAAAGGTATATTATCAAGAGCACTGTTGGTGAATTACCGTTTAATTCATCCACACCCTGGGAAAATTTCACAGCCATTCAAAAGAATCAGAGAGATCTATATATAACAAAGGGGAAGGATGTTCCTTGAATCCTGAGGGGAAGGCAAGCTGCCCAACAGCATGTAGAGTTCAGAAAAAAGTTGGAAAGATACACAACACACTGAACAGAGGTTCTCTGAGAAGCTGAGGGGGACAGGTGAACGGACAACTTTCTTTTTTTCACCTAGATGTCTTACTGTTTGCAATTTTACACAAGCAGGTACTATCATGTAATACTTTTTTAATTTTTTTTTTTTTTTTTTAATGTTGTTGGGAAAAAAATGACCCTGGGTGAGAAAACAATGGACCTGCTATACAGGCTTCTCAGGACCGTTTAAGAGAGACCCAGGGTGGTTTTCTCACCTACGCCTCCTCCTCCTCCTTCCCGCCTGTGGCCGTCTGTATGAGAAAGTTTCCGAGAACATTTCAGTGTTAAGCAGAGCCAGGGTACTCTGGTGCCAGGGAAGGGGATTTAAAAACCGAAATCCCCCAGCAGCAGCCCAGGGGAACACTCACCTGAGAAAGTGTTGTCTGCAAAACGTAACAGTAAACTGCTCTTGCCCACACCTGCAAGAGAGAAACCACTGAGATGAGAGGAGACAGTGGGCTCCCTCCCTCCCACCAAACCCTTCTCGAGGGAGATGACGGGAGAGTCCTAACTCTTATGAAGCTCACTGAGACCCATCTCTCTCCTCAATGCCTATTTTTATCTCCCCCAAAAGCCACACACCGACAACATCTCTTCCACTCACTCCCTAGGCTTTTCCTTCATCCTGGTGTAAGACAAGCTGCTCCCATGTCCCCTGGAGAGAGATGAGAAGGGACTCGTGCCAGGCTCCATCCTGAGGACTAGCCCCAGTGACTTAAAAGAAGATACCAGATGACAGAAATAAAACAGGAGGAAGGTCAACCAAATGATATTGGGCCTTCAAAGTGAGCCTAAACGTGATCCCTAGAAAATGTACATCACGCATGTAGCTTCAGCTTGTGTGCCATATGAAAACCGAGGAACTGTAGAGCTGGGAAGAACCCTTGAGACCGTCAGGGCTATTTTGCAAGTGATGAAACTGAGGCCCAGAGAGCTAAAGCTGACTATCAGCCATCTTGCATCTGCAACACACTTTCACCTCTGCTGACATCACTGCCGGCGGGATTTGGGGATGTGGTGGGGTGGGAGTGTCTTCCTTACACCACCTATCAGGCCAACCACTCGCTTATAATTTGGACCGTTACACTTATCACAGCACCTCTTGGTATACTTATTCCAAGGACAGGTAGAATCTTGGGAACTTGGCTTCCCCTTCAACACACGGCAGCTTCAGCCTACCAGGTGGCCTGTCCCAAGTCCTCCTGCCCCATCTCCCTACACTGCCACTCCAAAGACCAATCAACCATAGAAAGAAAGAACTAATAAGCAGAGAAGACCTTGGCGGGCACTTTGAAGCACTCCTGTAATTCCAACTACGTCTCAAGATGAAGAAAGCGAGGCTTTGAGAAGCTTAGCAGCTGGCCTGAGGTGCCCCAGCAGGACATGGTGGAGCTGAGACAGGAACCCCGGTCTGCCGGACTCCAGAGATCGAAAGCTCTTCCCCATACATGCTGCTTAGGGTCTTCCTGCATCTACTTCAAGGAGTAGACTACAATGACCCATAAAGCTCCTACATCTCACACCTGATACATTTTTTGACGTGAGAAGATCTTAACCTAGGGCCTCATGAACCCTTAAAACCAAATACAAAATTTTGAGGCTATATACACATTTGTGGGGAGAAGCCCACAACTTCTATCAGAGTCTCAAAGGAGGCAGTGATTCCATCCCTACTGCCGCCAAATAACCGAAGTCAAAACCCACTGTTGAGGTCTAAGTAACAGTTGTGTTTCTTTCAACCTAACCCCAAATATCGTCTCTGAGCAACCCTCTCGAAAGAGCTCTTCTGGGTACTTCTCCAAGTGAGTAAGTTGTCCGGAGATGCCCAGAAGAACTTGTTTCACTGAGTCAACCTGGCTCTTACCTTCCAAAGACGGACTGGGGGTGATGCTGTCCCGAGCAGACAGGTGCTGCCCCCACAGTACCTGTTGCTCAGCCCCTGGGCCTGCAGGGCTCTTGCTCAGAGCGACTTCCTCACTGCTGCCTCTGCGAGGCTTCCTGCTGAGCACAAGGAGAGTCCAAGTCCTGGGCTGGGTCCTTTACTGGCTCTGCCCAAGGCCAACACCCCAGTGGCCCTGCTGGCTCCTCTGCTTCCTCCCAGAGCCTCCTAGAGCCTTCTGGGTCCAGCTTACTCAGCTAAAAGCTGAGTAAAAGCTGAGTTCCTGTAGACTCACCCTGTGCTGTGGCTGACTCAGTCCCCAGGCCTGTACGCTGGGCCCAGCACTTAGTAGGTGCCAGCAAAACACTGCTTCGTGAATTTATGACTAAACAAACAACAATCTCTCTGACAGCTATGCCATCCAACGCTGCTGCTTCAGCATTAACTGGGGCCAAAGCACTGATCTTCAAACTTATGGGGACGGTGGGATCCTTTTTGGAAATCCAGTTTTATTCAAATCCCATACATCTAAAACAGATCAGAGGGAAGTACTCTCTGCGTGAAGGCAGCTTGGCCTCTCCCCTCTCTTCCGCTCACCCCCAGGCACCTCTGCAGAAAGACCACAACAGTCACTGCATTAACTGCTGCTGTGGGCCTGACACCAACCTCCAGACATTGCTTTTCCCTTTGAGAGGAAGCGAAATCCACCCTGAGAGATGCTGTCTACTAGACAGCCCTGGAAGAGGCCTCCTTGAAAAAACATGCTACTGCCATTTGACCCACAGCACCCCGCCGAAGGGAGGAAGCTGAGGCACCCATCTACCTTCACTATGGTCAAAGCAGGGAGCCCTGGTGGCTCAATGGTTAAGCGACTGCTAACTGAAAGATTGGCAGTTCAAACCCACCCAGCTGCTCTGCGGGAGAAAGACCCGGTGATCTGCTCCCCTAAAAATTACAGCCAAGAAAACCATATGGGGAAGTTCTACTCTGTCACGTGGGGTCTCTATGAGTCGGAATTGCCTCGATGGCACCTAACAACAACATGGCCAAAGTCAACAGCACCCCAAGGCCATTTCCGGCATAAAACCCGACCAATCATCTTTTACCCTGCAAGGAGCAGAGACCCCGGCACTCAATGCCTCTTGGTAGTCAGGAGACATAGAGCTCCACTGCAAAGACCCTGCATACTCGCTCACCACCATGCTCCCTGCAGCAAACTCCCTCTCTCCCCTCGTTTAGGCCTCTTGCCCTACACAGGTGCTCTGGTCTTTGTCATGCTAACCACAAGAGTCTTCACCCTCAGCCCTGCTCCTCCCTTGGGCTAGTCCCCTCATTCTGCTTCAGTTCCAGTCCGCTGAAGAGCCTTAGACTTTCGAGTCAAGTGTTCTCAATTGTAATCCTGGCTCAGCAACTACTTCACTGTATAACCTCAGATAAGTCACTTCTAGGCTCACAGCCTCAGTTTATTCAACTGTCAAATGAAATGCTTTAACTGGGTCTCTGGCGGCCACTCCAGCCTCCAGCTTCTAAGAATGAGGATGGCTGGCCCAGTGGATGCAGATGAAATGCAAAGCCTCAGGAATAAAGAAGAGAAACAAAAGCCGAGGAAATGCATTCCAGACGTGTGTACAATGTGGCAGAGTGGGAAGAAGAGGTTTAGGTTTATGAAGAAAGAAACTACCATTCATGGAGGGCGTACTGCCTGCCAGGCCTGACACCAGCTGCTCGCACACAGATTACCAGAGATGTGCACTAACTCTCAGCTTTGCCTCCGACGAGCTGTGTGACTTTGGGCAAGTCAGTCAACCCCTCTGAGCCTTAGTTTCCTTAGCTGACAAACCACACTGGCAACAAGTGACAATCAGAGGAGAGAGTGTCTGTGCAACCATTTGGTCAGCCTTAAGGAAGCCCTCACATAGGAGCCCGACTCAGGGGAGTGCGTGATGTCACTCTCCTTTATCTCAGTTTCCAAAGCTTGGTTGGAACTTCATGGCTACCATTTCCCAGTCTCATAAGCGTTCAGCTTTGAGCATCAGCTCACTGTCAGGAGAGATCAAAAAGCAAAGCATCTCTCTCCTCTTATACAAACTAGGCCTACATGCTCAGATGGAGCTGGGAGCCAGACCACATAAATCCTGACCCAGGGAGTCTTCTCCCACACCTGACTGCTGAGTGAAAAATCAATACACCACACAAAATGTACTGTGAGAAAGGGGGCCAAAACCATCCCCTGGGTTTTGCTGGGGAGAAATGCCAACAAGCTGCATCTTCTTGATGACTTCAGGTTTTTCATTTTTGGATATCAACACACAGGGCCTAGATGTCTTGCAGAGGGACAAAGACACCTGACCACAGTAAACTGGCTTTAACTCCAAAAGGAAAGACCTCACCCCTCAGAACAGGCTAGGGCTGAAATCAAAGTTTGTGACGGCATAAGCCTCAGGACCCCGAGGAAAGCTATCTCCAAGAGCGAGAGTACACAGCTTGTCTGGTTTTCTTTCCTTCAAATCACAACCAGTCACCCTCCACCCTTCCAACTCCTTCCCCATCCATAGCTGCCTTCCATCTTCCTGGTCAGCCCCTAACTTTTCCCCTTACCTCTCCCCTCCACCAGCAACCACGGAAACCTCAGCCATCAGTCACCTTATCCAAACTACCAACCACATCCCAACCCAGCTTCATGTGTGAGACCAAAAACCACCTACTTCCCTGACCCAACTATGACACTGTCACCCCCAACATCAAACACTCCTATATCCTGGGTCTTAAAACCCACTTGATTTGGACCCCACTTTCCTTAACAAGACATGGCCTTTGCGTCCAGTCACATGACCCCCTTCCACACACTCCACTCAGGTCTGTCTATAAACAGTGTGCTCACAGGCCTCCACCCCGACACCATATAATCCCAGCACCTCAGCTATGCTCCCATAAACTTTCTGGGGCCTGCCTTCCTGACCTCCTGGTCACCCCATAAACCTGTTCACCAGCCACACTCCAAATACCTTTAAAACCTTCCGCCCTCTCCCAGAAACCAGCCTATCTTTTCTAAAGACACTTAACATTCATTCATTCAACATATTTACTAAGCTCCCAGAAACCAGCCTATCTTTTTTTAAAGACACTTAATATTCATTCATTCAACATATTTACTAAGCATCCACGGGGTGCAAAGCAGTGTTCTAGGCTCTGGGGATACAGCAGCAAACTGAGCCAGACACCCTCAAAGAGTGTGTATAGGGCCAAAACGCTTTCGCAGTACTGGCTGGCCCACCCCCAATGCCACTCTGTTACCTAGTATTCAATACCAAACACTTACTGAGCGCTTCCTATGTGCCAGGCACTGCTGCAAACACTATATGCGCATCACCTCGCTGAACAGTCAATCAACCCGTGAGGCAGATGCACTATCATCCCATTTTATAGATGAGGAAACTGAGCCACAGAGGTATAATAATAATTCAGCACAAATGTGCCAGGCCCTATGTTAAGAACCGTGCTTTACCTTATTTAAATCTCACAACTACCACACGGGGCAGGTTCTGGGGATATCCTGATTTTACAGGAAACAAAACTGAGGCGTACAAAGGACACTATGATAACAACAGTTAACATTTACTTAGAGCTTACTTTACGCCAGGGCAGGTGCTAAGTACTTCTCCTGCTGTACCTTCTCGAATACTCAAACCACCCAGAGAGGTAAGTCCCCACTTCTCAGAGGAGGGAAATGAGGCTCAGAAAGGTGAAGCAACTTGCCCAAGGTCACAGCGTGAGGAAGCTGGGAGTCCCAGGGTTCGAACCCGGGTCAGTCCCCCTCCAGAGATCGGGCGACTAGACCAAGGTCACAAATGAGGCCGGAAAGGTGCGGCGCGCGGACCAGGCGCCCCGGCCCCG